CTTAAACAATTGCTATTTATTTAACTTTTTCATTTTTCTTTTTCTTTTTATAATAAGTATTTTCATTGTTTTAAAATGTTTTATTAATTTTTTTCTTAAATAATTCTTAAGTGTTCCTTTTATATATTAATCTGATCTACAAATTTTATACTATGGAAATAAAATGCATTTCTATAAACACACACACACACATATATATGTAGAGAGAGAGAGATAGGATAAAATTCATACATATACACACATATATTTGCATGTACATATATATATTTTTACAGGTGTTATAAATACGGTGCTCAGTGTTATATAACAGAACTATTAAGTATATATTAGTGAATATACATAATATCCCACATCAATAGCATGACTCAGTTTCATTCAGACATGCAATTTTCAGGTGTAAAATACTCACTGACCATTAAAGTGTTATGAAATTTGCGTTCTCATAGTGTTAATTTAAAATTGTGTGTTAAGACTTGTTTATTTTATTATTGTTGCCTATAATGTCAGCATTAATTATTTACAATTTATATCGTTCAAATTCTTAAGTTCGAAAGATGAGAAATTTTTTAAAAAATATTTAAATAATTTTAAAAAAATTGAATTTACATGAACATGCTATATATCAAGGGGGATAAATTTCTTTTTTGCATAAAAACCATTATAATGTCTTATGTAATAAACTTAGCTCTCGCGATGTTAACATAATTATAGGTTAAGACTATATATCTAGTGCATTTGGAACATAGCCTTATACTTAACAAAGGTGAAATTACATATACACATGTCATAAATTAATCAAGTAAAATCTAATTTGCATTCTATTTTAATTAGGGTCAATATGCTTGAGCAGATGCTTGTTTTTATGTATACATGTAGCAATCAACTCACTTCTCCTGTTCAGTAAGTTATGGTTATTTAAGTGTTTTAACATAATAAGCTTCTCCAACAAACACAAGTTACATCTATTTCCCTTTCCATAGTATGATTTAGCTTTCACGATTATCTCCCATCTAATGGATGGGTTCTTTATAGTTTTTTAATCACCAAAAATACTTTGAGAGTGTTGTGCAATTTTTGTATATTGTTCAGCATCATTTGGTGATGGAAAAAAAAATTTCCAGTTATTCTCAGTGAAACCAAAGTAATATTTAACATCATCATCTGAATTGATCCTAGCTCTGTAGATTATGCCTTCAATCATGTACTGGCCATGTAGTGGGCAGGTTACATTTTATGGCAGTTGCATTGACTTTTAGTAAGATTATTATTTAGTATTTTGTGTGCTTGCTTAATACATTATTGTTATGTTGCAATACATAATTATCGATGTTTTTAGTACAGCTATAGCTTATCTTAATATTATTTTTGTTGAAAATCTTTTTAGTATTGGTCACTGTATTCTAGTGCTTTGGTATATCTAGTTTTATTATTGCTAAATATTTCTTTGTTAAAAAAAAAAAAATAAGAAACCATCCATTAGATGGGAGATAATCGTGAAAGCTAAATCATACTATGGAAAGGGAAATAGATGTAACTTGTGTTTGTTGGAGAAGCTTATTATGTTAAAACACTTAAATAACCATAACTTGCTGAAGAGAAGTGAGTTGATTGCTACATGTATACATAAAAACAAACAACTGACATTAACCCCGATTAAAATAGATTTTACAAATATTAATATAATATCTAACACCTATTAATAATCATAGACCCCATCATTAGTAACATTTTTTATACACATATATAATACCATATTATAGATTGTAGTTGATTAATTTATGACATGTGTATATGTAACTTCACCTTTCCAAATGCATTAGATATATAGTCTTAACTTATGATAATGTTAACATTGTGAAACCTAAGTTTATTCCATATAAACTATAATAATTAATAATATATATACAATTAATATATTGGCAACGGTTTTTATCCCCCAAAAAGAGAATTATCCCCCTTGATACATAGTGGGTTTTTTTTTTTTTTAAATTATTTAAAATAATTTTTTTAATTTTTCATCTTTTGAACTTAAAAATTCAAACAATATAAATTAAAATTAATTATAATATCGTAGGCAATAATAATAAAATAAACAAGTCTTAACACACAGTTTTAAATCAACACCATAAGAATACAAATTTGATAATCCTAAAGGATTATGAAATTTGTATTCTTATGGCCAGTGAGTATTTTGCACCTGAATATTGTGTTTTTGTATGAAACTGTAAGTTGTGTTATTGATGTGGGATATTATGTATATTCATTCATTCATATATATATATATATATAGCTACACATTTGCAGCAAGATTCTTTCTTTTATCTCTATGAGAATGAGAATGAGAACAATCTATGCTCATAGATTAAATGAAGGCTTCAATTTGAAATTCCCTGAAGATTACTTGGATTGACAGACATCTGAAGAAAGCCAGTAATAGTAACAACAAAGATTTTGGTTTTAAAACCAAAATGATTACTTCAAATGCAAATGAAGTAAAACTTCATTTGCATTTGAAATTAATCATTTAATCTATGAGCATAGATTGTTCTCATTCTTCTGTCCATATCCAGGGATATCTCATTTTTTCTCTTTTTAGTGTTGTTCAGTTATTGCAAGTCCTGTTTTCACTGAGTGTGTCTGCACTAACTGGCACAGGGATTGAACTCACAATTTACTATACCACCAAATTCACGAACCAACACCTTAATCCACTACGTCCCATGGGACCTAGTGGATTCAAACCTTACTTTTGACTAATTTGGTGGCATAGTAATTGTGAATTCAATCTCTGGGTCAAGTAATATAAATTTAGACTTAGTGGAAACAGAGCTTGCAATAACTGAGTAATACTAAAAAAAGTACAAGACCAGATATCACTATATATGGACAGCAAAACGAGCACAATCTAACCGCCCAACAATTAAATAAAGTGTTCAGTTTGAAATTCTCTGACAGTTACTCAGATTAACAGACATGTGAAAAAGGCCAGAGAGCACAATGGCTGAAATGCTGTGATAGTAACAACAAAGATGAGGATATTAGTCCAAATGTAAATAATGTTAGAAATTCAAACAGAAATTATCAATTTATTAACTAAACTTTATATAATGCAATTATTTACTTGATTCCATTGAGCTTTGTCTTTTCTTTTGTCAGTTTTACAGTCTCTCAACACTAAAGTATATTTTGATAACAGCAATTTTTCCATTAAACAAGTTTTCAATTAAAATCATTAATAACTTTTGATAGTTTTTATCATAAAAAAATCTTTCAAAACGAAATTTTTGTATATATATATATATATATATATATATATAAAGAACAGTTTTGGAGGAAAGATGTCTGAGAAAGTGGAAAGTTTTCAGTCTAAGGGACAAAATGTGTCATACAGAACCTTTTTCCACTTTGTCATATAGATACATATATTTGTGTGTGTTATAGAATGCTGGCAATTTATTTTGCCTCATTTCTCTATAAATAGATTATAGTGATAATTTTTGGCATTATTATGCTCCAAATTATTACTATACTTTTTTTTTTATTTCCAAAGCAAAATAGTAGATCATTAGAGCAAGGGCTATAAAGGTCCAGCATGAATTGAATTAATGCACATCTGTATGCATGCTATTGTTTATATTCTTGGTGTCACTTTTGTTATTATGACTGATGTCAAATTTTCAGATTCCCAACTGCCACTTTCACTTGCACAATAGTATTTAGCTATTTTGTTTATCTTTTTTGAGAAACAACCTTAATTCCTTCTTTTTTTTTTTTATTGATTATGCCCTGATTTGATGGCAATGTCATGTGAACTTTTACATTTTCATCCTTTATGTTTTTATCTGGTAGCTATGCAAACATATTGCAAAAATAATTAATTATTAATAACTCCTGAATAATTTCACTTTTTCTCATCTATTTTTGACATGCTTTTATTTACTCTCAGATAGAAAATGTAACAGACAAATATATTATTTATTTAGTCTAAGAATGCAGTATAAATTCAATTTTCTTAGTATTTGATTGTTAATACCAAAATTTAAACAACAACACTAGTAAGAAAGTAAAATATAGTAATTTAACACATTTTAAGACAACAGTTAAGCATTGCTTCAAACACTTAAAATGTTCATTTATAATAAAATATAGGGGATATCTTATAAAACTTTATTTGAAATGACTTTACACAGGAAATTCTTTTAGTATTACAAATTGAAATGTAATAATATTTGAAATTTGTTTAAAAGCAAAATACTAAATGAACTGATTTACTCGTGTCTTTGACACAAATAGTTGTCAGTATATGGAAATGTTAAAATAAACAATATTTACCACATTTGGGATTTTTATCACCTTAACTTTTATTTTAATTTTTGTTTTTTATCTCCATATTTTCTTTGAAAAATGAAATCAAAATAAAAAAGGTAAAATGCATAAAGAAAATGACAACTACGTACAGAAGAAACTGAGTTAATCATCAGCAGAAAATATATTCATAACATTTTAATCTCAATAAAATGTATCTTTCTGTAGATAATACAGAAAAAAAGTAAAAAAAATTGTAATTTCTACTTTATAGTAAAACAATATCTGTTAATGCTTTAAGGACTTGAACAATCAAGAAAGCTTGTTTTAAATATGAATATAAATTTTAAATATACTTTGTTTTCTTACTTAATCCCAAAATGTTAATGAAATTTTGTCTTGTATTTGTGGATTTGTTTATATGGTTGTATTTATCTCCCTTGTTTGTATTTTATTTCAATTTAATATCATTTATATTTTATTATTACAACTTTTTTTCAAGTTGTGTTTTTCTTCTCTCCCAGAATAAACTTTACCTTCTTTATTTCAGAAATCTCCTCAAAGAAACTATCTTTTTTGCAAATAATAATACCAATAACCTTTTTTGTTAAACATTCTAATCATTCCACATTTCATTTTTTTTTTTTTTTTTACTCCCCCACTGGGATTCATTTTTTTTTTTCCGGCGGCACCAGGCATTTGACAAGGAAAGAAGAACTCCAAACCCTCAGAGGAAAGATATGTTCCGAAAACGATCTGTGACAACTGAACATACTGCCACAACAGAAAAAGTGTGATCACCTGAAGCAAGCTAGACCAAAGAAATCACCCTAAGACTCTCGACCAAAGGTTGTGAGGATTAAACCAGCCTGAATTCATGCAGACAAACCAAGAAGACCAGATCTAACTGACCAATGCCTCCATCTCCTTCTTGTACTCCTACTCCTACTACTATTGTTCATTCCTTTCTCACTCCTACTATTTATGATTAGTGACCAAAATATTTATTTCCCATATTAACTGCTTCTGTTATTGGCCCCCTAAAATTCATTCTTTCCTCTAAATTCTACTCACCAAAATTAAAGTTATTGATACTTCTCCTTGTAATACTACTACTACTACTACTACTACTACTACTATAATGCTATCATCATTTATCATGTTTCATTTTGTGCATCAACCAAACAAAGAAGATAAAAAATTTGTATTACCATTTTCAGCAGGCACTAGGGTTAATATTTACAAAGTTTCTAAGGCTGTGCCTTCAGTGAGCTGACCATGGTGGGAAGAGAGCCAGGGATGGTAAGGGAGAATTCTTATTAAGATGGGGGCTAGTAATGCCTAACAAAAAAAAAATGTCAACCATTAACATATGTAATAAATCTATCCAGCTCCTGTAAGTTGAAACTCTTATTATATCTGGAAAGCTAGATCCAAATGACTTCTTCTCACACCTTCTTCTCTCTTTTCCTCACTATTATGTTTTCTTTCTCATCCTATTATACCTGCTTGTAAAAAAGAGAGAGGGTGGGGCATCTGATCAAAACTATTGTTGCTTCATGGGTTGAAGTAAAAACAAAACAAATGCAACAAAAATTTCTAAAACTTCACTCCTTTTCTATAAGAAGCACACATACAGTTTGAGGTTATTTATTTGATTTTGAGTGGAATCCTTTGTGTGTACTTGTGTGTATGCAAGTATATATTCATGATAAAAATGTATTTTTAGGAAAATAACCAAAAGATAAATAAATCTTTCTATTTAAACAATTCAATAATCTCTAGTCAATAAAAAAATATTAAGCAAAAACATAAAAAATGAAAAAGAAGTATATTTAATTTTTTAAAGTTTTTTCTAATTATTTATTATTGATTTTTAAAAACATGAAATTGCAAAATCAAGAAATAGGAATTATTTCACTTTGATTTGATAACAATTTCAATAATGTACATCTGTAAATACATAGAGCCATAAACAACCAGTCTTTATTGCTGTTATTATTATTATTATTATTATAGTCTATGAATACACAGAAGTATATATTGAAATAGTCAAGTTTAACAAAATATCTCATTTCATTTCCTCCTCTTGCTCTGATTTCAACTTTACACATTTTTTTTTTAATTTATTGAAATTTATTTAACATTAATTTAATAACTTAATCAAGTTCATTAGCATTTCTCCTCTCCACTTCCTCCTCCTCCTCCTCCTCCTCCTCTGACCCTTCCCATTTTCCCCCAATCCTTTATTTCTTTATTTAATTCTTACAATCTTAAAATTTATTCAATCTTTAACAGAATTTCTGTTCAGTTAAAAGATAAAAAGAAAAATGGAAACCTTTGTGTTTTGTTTTTTGTTTGTTTTTGTTTTTTTTGTGGATTTCATTCCATTGAAATGTAAATCAGAATCAGGAATGCTAATAAATTCCAAGACCAAGATAATATTTTATAAAAGAAATAGAATCTACCACACACTTACATTTGTATCATTTCTTCCATTCAAAACAGGAATAATAAAAAGAGAAGACACACATTCATTAAATGACAATCTGAATCAATTTTAAATAAAATGCATAGTTATTTGTAGTTTCAGTCACGAAGAACAATCGCATGTCATTTTCAGTTTCCTTTCTAAAATTTAAAGTTGGAAGATTTATCATTTAATGTCTTAGATTAAAGTGAGGAAAGTTCTGTTTTCTCTCAACTACTTTCTGCTTGACTATATACTAACAATTCCTTGTTTATCAAACAATTTTAAAGCAGAGAGGATAAAGCTTATTTGAAAAAAAAAATTTATGGATAATCAATATTTGAGGATTTTCTTGATATTTTTCCCATTTATTCACTAATTCATTTCAGTATATTAGGAATAGAAGTGATTCTTTTGCTTGTTTATACAAGTACATATATGCAAAGCACAAAATAAACAACTACAATTAAAGAAAAGCTGCATTACAAAAACTATAGAATTTATTGAATTATGTTAGGAAATCAAATTTCAACTCACAAATATCATTTAGAAAGTGGGGGGAAAATAAAAAACAAATGGGCATTTTTTTCTGTTTTATCTATGTATATTATAATATTTAAAAGCCTTAACAAGGATCTATGTTGTAACATCAAATCACATTGACTCTTTATTCTTTTTTGATTTGTCTTTGTTTTTTCTTTTCATCTATGACTTCTGATCTCTTAATAGTTTGCTTTCTATATTTCCTAATTCTAGCCACATCTTTGTTCCATTTTATTCTCTTTCTATTTCCTTTTCTATGTATCTGTTTGCTCCTATTGACTAGGCCCATTTTTCAGAGTCACCTTTATCATTTATATTCTTATGAAAAAGATCTTGCAATATGAAAAATACACATTTTGTTTCTTTAAATATAGTAGTTAAGTATATGAGGCAATGGTTTCTATCTCAATAATCTTAAGAAATGAGCAAATTTCAACACCAAATATTTTCCATAGTTGACCCAATATTAAAAAGTAACAAAAACAAAACAAAACAGTAATCTAAGATCTGGATATAAAAACAGGAACTTAGTATATAAATACCTATTTTTAGCTTTAAGGAAAATAATCCTTCTGCTGAAATTGAGGTTTTCAACCCTGCCTCTTTTTAGATTTGTATCAAAAAATGTTTATACAGGTAAATACACAGTGACCACTCATATTGCATTAGTTTTTAGGAATGGGTTTAGTTGAGAAATAGGGGGTGGGGGTAACAAATATTGGTTTCAGATCAAATTCTAAGATATATATATATATATCATGTGTGTTTAAAAAAAAAAACAAAAAAACTGTGAGACTGTAACTTCTGAAATGCCTTAAACAAAATGATGTAAGACATAAAATCCATGTGGATTAATATTCTCCAGTGTTTTATCTATTTTAGTTGCAAGATTTGTTTATCACATGATGAGCAAAGAGAAAACAGAATTTGGTTATTTCACAAGTCAATTCTTTTGGCACATTAAAATTGGAAATAAATGTGTTTAACTGATTCCAATCATTACAATTAGTACTTTATAATGATTACTTATAAATTACTTTAACAATTTCTACTTAAAAAATACAACTCATCACAGATTAAAAAATACTGAAGTACATGTTTGAATTTTTAAGTAATGAAAATTAGGAAAATAATATTTGAAAATATGCAAGAATTTCCTCAAACTTCACTTGTTTTAAAAAGCAAAAATATCTGATAATTTACTTCATCATAATTAAAAAGTACAAATATTTGGGAGTACTGACTATTCAAGACAACCACCTCACCTCAGACACTTGGTGAGATTGACTCTAATCTACTAGTGAATTTTGGAAATTCAATTGTTCACTGCATCCAAATGTCATTCTTAAGTGTTGTTGGTTGTCTGTGATATTTGACAAAGCCTCCATATTGGAAGTGGATGCAAAATTACTTAAATGTAATAACCCTGAGAGACATGACATGACAGAAAATGGGAAAGTATCAATGATATCATTCATATTTTGCATAGTGATTTATAGTTAGCATTCATGGAAAAATATGGCCCGTTCCTTTGATTCAACTTAAAATATTAAAAAGTGTTGCATACATTTGCTGAAAAAAGATTTCAAATTGTTGTAAACACTTTTGTTTAGTATTACTCATTCTCAGTGTTTGATTTTCAAATTATTTCAATTGACAATCTTCAAGTTTTTAAGGTAGAAATATCTGCTCAGCTTCATTTGAGTTCCAAAAAAAAAAGAAAAACATTTCTTCTTCTCTCTCTTAAACATACGCATTCACACAAACCTGTAATACCTAGCACATACTGAATCTGTTTTTAAAAGAAACATAATAACCTATTTTTTAAAAAAATTCTAAATGATTAATTATAACTTTCTCATAAATTTAATTTCTAATATTTTCTTAAGTTAACTGCTACATAAAAACATGAAATATCCATTTATTTATCCCACATATAAAGTTCTAATTATCAGTTTCATTGGATCATGAAAATCCAAATATGTTCCATTATTGATTCAGGAAGGAAGAACTGCCAACTGTAATCTTGGTCATTTTTTACAGACTAAATTTAAACATCTATAAATTTTTTTTTTTTGAAATCCTAAAATTATTATTTGTATAAATGGAAATATTCAATATGAAATATTCTGAATATCTAATGTGAATAGTTTAAACAGAATTCTTTAAAGTTTATTCACAGCCCTGATATCTTAGAATTATCTGAAAATAAGTTAAACTTTTATTTGAAATTTTATCCCTTGAACTATTTTTTTTTTTTTGCTTATTTCTCAACTTGCATGAAAAGTTAATTTCTTGCTCCAAAATTCCCCACTCTCCCAAGATATTTCTCCTTTAGTTGTTCCTTGAGTTGATTTAGTGCTTTTTAATAGTGAAAACATGTAGCTTAAGAAAGCAATGTTTTACTTGTATTTTTCTTTTATCTTTCTTTCCATTTGAAAAGAAGAGAATGGAACTGAACAAATCAATAGAAAAAGAGAAGTGATAATCTTCAGAGAAATGTAGGACAGTTTGTATTTATGGACGCACAAATTACACAAGAGAAAATTGTTTTTAAATAAAATCTAAAATTTCTTTCTAAATTCAGATAATGAACAAACTGCTTGTATTCTTTTTGGAAATACTAAAACATGACCTCAGTGATTTTTATCTGAAACCAACAGGCAAAAATTTCTGCAATACTTTAATTTACTTATAATTGTTTCTCTTATTTTTACCTTTTCTTTCTTTCACTCTCTTTTTCTCTTACTCCAAATCTTTGATAAAGAAAAAGGACAAAAAGTA